TTTTTTTTTTTTGGAGACGGACTCTCGCTCTGTTGCCCAGGCTGGAGTGCAGTGGCCGGATCTCAGCTCACTGCAAGCTCCGCCTCCCGGGTTCCCGCCATTCTCCTGCCTCAGCCTCCGGAGTAGCTGGGACTACAGGCGCCCGCCACCTCGCCTGGCTATATTTTTGTATCTTTTAGTAGAGACAGGGTTTCACCGTGTTAGCCAGTATGGTCTCGATCTCCTGACCTCGTGATCCGCCCGTCTCGGCCTCCCAAAGTGCTGGGATTACAGGCTTGAGCCACCGTGCCCGGCCCGAGCGGAATTTTTTTAAAGTTAGGTCAAACAGTTTTTAAAGTTAGGCCACCCATCCCCCTCATGACCTTTGACCTTGCACCATACTGTCTGCAGGACCAGGTAAATGAAGGAGACATCAGCCAAGATTGAGGTTGGCTAGGGGGAAGGGGCGGTTGGTGGGGAAGTTGGTAAGTTAAGATTTCAGTGTGATGAGATGAAATACTTATAAGATATTTAGTAGATACTTATTAGATATTTATTTTAAAATAGAGCTTAAGGAAAGGTTACTGGAATGCGTACCTGCTAGTGTTGTCAGTTGAAGAATTAAGAAATATCACTTCTAATACCTCATCATTGATGACTATGTAACCCTAAAATGTTTAGAGTTGAAGAATGTAAGAACTTCATATAATTTTTCATTCTCTGAATCAAAAAGACTGCATTCCATCTCAGGTTTGCTATTTGTGTGACCTTAGAACAGAAAAGGAAAACAAAATGGAAAAGAAAGGAAAAATGGTTTCTCCATATATGATCAGTTTCATTTCAGTAAAATGAAACCCACACTATCTACCCTCCATGTTTGCTTTTTAAAAACCTTAATGAGCACATCGGGAATATAACCAAGCACAATGCCTGGCAAATTATAGGTAGCTTCTAAATATTTGTTTATTTTTGTTATGTTTGTTTGTTTTTCCACAGATAACACAGAAAGATGAGGAAGCCTTAAATAGTTCATAAGATAAAGACTGGACCATTTGTTTTCAGATTTGTTTAGATATAAAACTCTTCCTTTAAAAAATATATTGGAGATGGCCAGGCATGGTGGCTCACATCTGTTATCCCAGCACTTTGGGAGGCCGAGGCGGGCAGATGACGAAGTCAGGAGTTCAAGGCCATCCTGGCCAGCATGGTGTCTCTAATACCAATACAAAAAGTAGCCGGGCATGGTGGCGTGCACCTGTAATCCCAGTTAAAGGGAGGCTGAGGCAGGAGAATCACTTAAACCCAGGAGGTGGAGGTTGTGGTGAGCTGAGATCGTGCCACTAAACTCCAGCCTGGGTGACAGAGCGAGATTCCGTCTCACAAACACACACACACACGCACACACGTGAGACTTGAACACTAGTTATGCACGGGCCTTGCTCCACCCGCCACCCATCCCCCTCATGACCTTTGACCTTGCACCATACTGTCTGCAGGACCAGGTAAATGAAGGAGACATCAGCCAAGATTGAGGTTGGCTAGGGGGAAGGGGCGGTTGGTGGGGAAGTTGGTAAGTTAAGATTTCAGTGTGATGAGATGAAATACTTATAAGATATTTAGTTGAAAATGTTTAATAGGCAACTTCATATTTTGGTCTTAGTGTCAATCAGTGCTAATCCAGACAGAAATTTTGAAGACATATTTTAAACTTACAGCTGAAACTGTGGGCAGGGATGAGATCACTAAAGAAATTGTAGCATGACAAAAGGAGAGGGCCAAGTAAAGTCAGGTGAAAGAAGAGGAGTTTGTAAAGGAGAAGGAAGGAGCATGAGAAGACCTATAATGGGAAAACATGCTGGGACATGAGGATGAAAATGTTGGCAAGGGTTGAGGACTAAAGAAGAAGTGAGAAAACAGACAATGAAGTGAGGATGGACATTTGTGAGAAATTGTTGTAAGGAACTGTCCCAAGCACTGGTTGGGAGCTAGAGGTTGAAGAGAAGTTAAGAAAATGTTTAAGTTGGAGTGGAGCACATTTAAAAGTGAGATAAAGGCCAGGTGCAGTGGCTTATGCCTGTAATCCCAGCACTTTGGGAGGCCGAGGCGGGCAGATCACGAGGTCAGGAGATCAAGACCATCCTAATGGTGAAACCCCGTCTCTACTTAAAATACAAAAATTAGCCGGGCATGGTGGCACGTGCCTGTAATCCCAATTACTTGGGAGGCTGAGGCAGGAGAATCGCTTGAACCCGATAGTTGGAGGTTGCAGTGAGCCAAGATCGCCACTACACTCCAGCCTGGTAACAGAACGAGACTCCGTCTCAAAAAAATAAAAAAAAGTGAGCTGAAAATAACTTGTAGAACAGAGAGACTGAAGATAAGTAAATAAGCCGATGATAGAGAAAATTTCTTTAGTGTAATTGTGGACACAGAGAAGTTTGCAAGGAATTGAAGGAGCTCTCCTTCAATACTGGTGGCCTCACCAGTATTTCCTGTGGAGCTGGATGTGTAGAAGGGGAAAGGAGGTCATGGGAAGAGTCTTGAAAGTGGTAAAGACTGAAATCATCGCTTCATATTCATGCTTTACACTTATCTAAAGACTTACTAGTGTCAGATCCTGAGACAGGCACTAGAAAATAGCAGTAAGGAAAACACGCATGGTCTCTGCCCTTAGCTGGTTAGCTAGCAAACAGCTAGTATCGGAGGCATACATTAAGATGGAATTAAAAATTTTCTTTGGTATCACTCGGTGCTCTGGGGGATGGTTTTAGGGGTCCTGGATGTATGGTGGAATAACTAAAAGGCAAGACGGTTGGGGCAAGATCAGTTGATAATTCAACAAATGTCTGCTGAGCAGACTTTTTTTGAATTATCAACAAAAGTCTCCTGCATGCCAGGCACCATGCAAGGGACTTGTCGAAGCCGTAGATCTTGATGGGCTGAGGGATTTAAAAAACAACTCTGCGAAGAGACAGGTAGATACATATGATAAAATAATAGATTTGATCTACATGTACTATATTAACTTTATGATATGTTGATCATTGTTTTCTGTGTTCCCCTTTAGAACCACTATACTGTTCTGTTATGATGTAATTCTCGAGCTTAAAATACATAAATTAATGTTGCAACTAGTCAGTGACTAACAGTGAACCAGTGACATTAAACATCTGGCAGTGCTTGGGACAGTTCCTGACAACAAAGCACCATGCCACCAAAAATACCAATCGTACCACCCCACTGAAAAACGCTGAGACAGACAATAATTTGGAAATGCACAGCTTCTGTTTAGCTTGTTAATTCAAAATGTTGACTATATGATCTGCAAACCAAAAATTGTGAAGAGACCCTTTAACATCAGACTTAGTTTCTGTGTTCTCTTCTGGCGGACACGTCAGGTATCTGTGAGGTCTTCACCTCATTCGGCAGCCATTGCCTTCACCACAAATCCATTCCAAAAGAGAATTATCTGTTTTCCTCCCCTCCCCTCCGCTCCCCTCTCCTCCCCTCCCCTCCGCTCCCCTCTTTTCGATGCAGTCTTGCTCTGTCACCCAGGATGGAGTGCAGTGGCACAATCTTGACTCACTGCAACCTCCGCCTCCCGAGTTCAAGCGATTCTCCTGCCTCAGCCTCTCAAGTAGATGCGACTACAGGCACGCGCCACCATGCCTGGCTAATTTTTTTTTTTTTTTTTTTTTTTTTTTGAGACAGAGTCTCACGCTGTCACCCAGGCTGGAGTGTAGTAGTGCAATCTCAGCTCACTGCAAGCTCCGCCCTCACGCCACTCTCCTGCCTCAGCCTCCTGAGTAGCTGGGACTACAGGTGCCCACTACCACGCTCGGCTAATTTTTTGTATTTTTAGTAGAGACGGGGTTTCACCATGTTGGCCAAACTGATCTCGAACTCCTGACTTTGTGATCTGCCTGTCTCGGCCTCCCAAAGTGCTGAGATTAGAGGTGTGAGCCACCACACCCGGTGGTGTTTTGTTGTGGTTTTTTTGGGTGCTATTTTTGTGCTTTTTGTGCTATTTTTCCAATACAAATCATTGATTCATTATGGCTCAGTTTACCAAAGATGCATGGGTTTTGAGTGATATACATATTCCATTCTTATTTTTTCCATTAGTCCTGTTTATTTTTAGTGTTCAATTTTGTAGAACTTGAGGTTTTTCACCAATACTATCACCATGTTACATAAGATGTACCTCAGTTACATAGATTTTGTTTACAGCATTTCAGATTGTTTTACCTCTAGCCAAAAATTGAACAGTTGAATGGAACAATTACACTTAGTATTTCAACTTTCTCATTTGATAATGCAAACTTAAGGTGAGTTTAATGTTTGTCAAGTTTCATAAAGAGATGCTTTTATCTTATAGGGAAGACATCATTGCATTTTTTTCTATTTACATTAAGTCTGGTAATTATTTAAATGCTGCACCAAAAATGATCTGGCTAACAATTTTTGTTTAAAATTTTTAACAATATAATGAAGTCCAAAAGTTAACCCATACAAATAGAAATAACTACCATATTTACATAACGTGATTAAAGTCTATAGAATTTCTCATGATGCCAGATAGCCTTCAGTTGTTGAGAAACAAAAAACACAGAATGGCCCAGATTGTCTTTCTAAGATTTTTGCCATATTGAAGGCTTCAATTTTGTTACTCAGTTTGTGGGAGTGGGGGAGTAGGAGAAGTGGTAGGAGGTACTTTTGTTGAAAAACCATATTGAACTTTAACGTGCTAACTTCCACAGATAAAAGTGGAACCAGTCGCTCTGGCCCCGAGTCCGGTTATCCCCCGATTAACTCTCCGAGTCGGTGCTGGCCAAGACAAGATGTAAGTATAAATGCTTTGAGTCAGAGTGAAACAAATGAAACTTAACCTTCTCTACCCTTTCCTAATGGACTTAGAACTACACAGGCTTCTCCCAGGTATGAACATGTGGGATCAAGCTTTATTTTTAGAACTCTTCGTTTTCACATTTTTATTGGTTTCTTCCACAGAGTAAATGCTTTTCACTTTATTTGACCTAGAGGATTGTTTTTTTTTTTTTCTTGTTCTTTTTCTCTTTGTTAAAAACTAGCACCTGACATCATTTCTACATAGTGTTTAAGGTCCCAGGTATCTGAAAAGTAAGAAACTCTGTACTGAATGGACTTACTGCCACATTACGCCCAGGTAGATGCAATGCTACACTTTCTCAAGTACATAGTAGCTATCACCATGACAAAGAACAAAGATTCTCTTTTTGCTCAGATGACACATGGTTTTATTCTGTACCTGTAAAACAAAGATACACCAAAGGCTTGGAGAGACAGAATATAATAGTCACAACTGATGACTTAGTCCACTCTTTTTTTTAAAGAAAGCACTAGAAATGTAAACCCCACATTTGCTGTTTATTTATCTTAATTTTCATGGAATCATCATATCAACCCACTCGTCTTTACAGTTAATCTGTTGGATATGTTTCTTTTATTCATTTTTTGGGGAGGCATTAAGGCCTACAGTGCTCTTACCTGATCCTAATAAGGTAATGAAACATTGATTTTTTTTTGTAACTCAGTTGAAAATCATTCTCCTTGTTTTAAAATAATATTACGCATCATTTAAATAAAATACACAAGATAAAAGTTCTACAACCTTATTTTTCCCGTTAAGCCTGAAAATGCAGTTTACATTGCAATCAAATACTGTGTTGAAAATAGGCTTAGAAGGCATTCTATTTACATTCAATTTTTAGCCATAAAAGTGAGAGTAGGAGCCATGAATTTATTTAGTAGAGGACAGAAAATTTGCTTTGTATTCTCACTGGTTTATTTCATCTTAAAAGTTACATGTGTTGATACTGTTGCTTCTGTCAACTCCATGTATAGTGCAAAGAAAAAGTCCAGCATGATTCTGATGAATGTGAGCAGAGAGGCAACTTGGTTTTCCAGGGGAGTGTATACCCCTCTGAAGATTTAAAGGAGAAAATCCAATGGCTTCTGTTTTTCTCACCTAAATTCTCTGGATAATTTCCACATTACTCTTTTTGGTTGTGCTGGTAGAGACCTAGGAAATGCAGCAAAAATCCTGTGGATTCAGTGCTTTTCAAACCAGCTATCTGGTATACCAGTGCACCTATGTTACCTACAGAAGCATAAATGTCCTCATCTCTTAACCAGTAGGGCTCAGAGAAGACCCAACCAAAGTAACTCTTCCATCTCCATGCAAATTCTGCATATGGGCTCATTTCTCTGAGAGGAAGGTGCTGTTATCCATCATTCAACAAGTACTTTTCTCCTGCAGTTTATATTTATTCCCATTTCTCAGTAACTCACCATTACCTAATCTTGACTCCCACACAGAAATTTGGCTTGCTTATACCTTTTAGAGGAATAAGGTTTGTTAAAAGGCATTGAAAAGCCAGGTGTAGTGGGCCGTGCCTATAGTCCCAGTTACTTGGGAGGCTGAGGCAGGAAGATCACTTGAGGCCAGGAGTTCAAGGCTATAGTGAGCTATGACTATGCCCACTGCACTCCAGCCTGGGCAACAGAGCCAGACCCTGTCTCTAAAAATAAAAGGCAGCCAAGCACGGTGGCTCACGCCTGTAATCCCAGCACTTTGAGAGGCCAAGGCGGGTGGATCACAAGGTCAGGAGATCGAGATCATCCTGGCTAACACAGTGAAACCCCCTCTCTACTAAAAGTACAAAAAATTAGCCAGGCGTGGTGGCCGGCGCCTATAGTCCCAGCTACTTGGGAGGCTGAGGCAGGAGAATGGCGTGAACCCGGGAGGCAGAGCTTGTAGTGAGCCGAGATGGCGCCACTGCACTTCAGCCTGGGTGACAGAACAAGACTCCTTCTCAAAAAAAAAAAAAAAAGGATTTGGCCCAGCGGTAGTGGCTCAAGCCTGTAATCCCAGCACTTTGGGAGGCTGAGACAGGATCACGAAGTCAGGAGATCGAGACCATCCTGGCTAACCCGGTGGCTCAGTCTGCCTGTAGGCCAAACTGGCCGGGCGAGGTGGCAGCCTGTAGTCCCAGCTACTCGGGAGGCTGAGGCAGGAGAATGGCGTAAACCCGGGAGGCGGAGCTTGCAGTGAGCAGATCAGCCCATCAACACAAGCGTGGGCAGGCTCACGTCTCAAAAAAAAAAAAAACCAGCTGACTGAGTGGCTCACGCCTGTAATCCCAGCCTTTTGCAGTGGCTCACGCCTGTAATCCCAGCACTTTGGGAGGCTGAGGCGGGCAGATCACGAGGTCAGGAGATTGAGACCATCCTGGCTAACAGGGTGAAACCCCGTCTCTACTAAAATATACAAAAAAATTAGCTGGGTACCTGTAGTCCCAGCTACTGGGGAAGCTGAGGCAGGAGAATGGTGTGAACCTGGGAGGTGGAGCTTGCAGTGAGCTGAGATTGCACCACTGCACTCCAGCCTGGGCAACAGAGCGAGACTCCGTCTAAAAAAAATAAAATAAAAAGGCATTGATAGTTATATTCAACTCACCTGCCCTTAAGCATCTTTCAGTCATTCTGTTGACTATTTGTTGTATTTTTCCCCCTCAATAAATCACTCATACACCTGAGATATTGAAAGATGTGAGAAATCCTATTTGGAACAAAATGTCTAGTATCAGGGAAATTATAATACCCAGGTATTCTAGACAAATTGCCCTTGAAAGCATATTATATATCATGTAAACTTTCAGATATGTGGGTAATGACCCCCATGTTATATGAAGGATTAATCATTTGACCAAAGGCAGATGCAAGAAAATCCTTACAATGAAGAAAGAGATAAATGAAGTGAAATAGATTACATTTTAAATTAAAATAGAGCGAGAAAGAAGGAGGACTAAGTCTCATAGTAATAGAATTTTATGTAAAATAAAACTTACTCAGTAAAGTGCTTTTTGTGGGGCAGGGGTGGTTCTAAATCAGGGGTCAGCAAATTATGGCCCATGGGCCAAATCCAGGCCACTGCCTGTTTTCTGTGACCTGCAAGCTCAGAATGTGTTTTATATTTCTTAGTGGCTGAAAAAAATTAAAAGAGGAATGTATTATGACACATGAAAATTATATAACATTCAAATTTCAGTGATCCCCCATGGTTGTAGCATGATACGTGGCTTAACCCATGGTAATAATGGAGAAGGAAGCAACAGATTCCTGTCACTGTGCCTGTGGTTACCCAGTTTGCACACACCTTGAGGGGGAATAATACTCTTTTGAAGTGAAATTAATGAGCAGATGGGATTCAAAAGGGGGAGTTTGAATAGTCCAGGGGGGTATTTGTTGCTGAAGAACAGGCAGAATCATCTTTTGAAATTAGGAGAAACGAAAAAGCTTTACAGGGTTCAAATTATACCTTCTCGTTGGAAGATCTTTAAGACGATATTTAGTTTCTGAGTCTTAAATAAAGCAGTTATGTCTTCTGCCCTTGTTCCAGAAAAGTACTTTGAGCTTGGAGTGTTTCCTCTGTTCTCTATTATTGTTCCTTGAAGCAAGACAGGAATAACTTGTTTTTCCCTTGATTTAACATTCCTGGAAGCTGTATTCTAAAGGAGTCTATGGTGAGTCCAGGACCTCCTCCTGATAGTGTTAAAATTCAAGATGACTTTCCAAGGACCTCACGTTCCTTTAACAGGTCTTCCAGGAATGGTTGTCCAGAGTTCCTTGTAGTCTATATTGAAGATAAAACCAAAACCTAACCCTGAAATTACAGTCTCAACACCTAGAGACAACATATTCAAATGAATTGCTGAAATATCTGGTCCTGCCTAGCAGAAGCCTTGCCTTGAGGCTGGGATAGCAAGTAAGTTTCAGCTGGCCTCAGAGCCACCGCCTAGAACTCTGTTGATGGGATCCTGAGGTCCCACTTGGACTTGGGGCTGGGAGCAGGGTGACAGCCACCATGGAGGGCAGGGCAGGCAGCAAAGCAGGCAGCAGGTTATTTGTCCTCCCCATCTTACTACATATTGAGTTTGGTCATTTTGAGTAAGTGTAGGTAGAGTTGGCTAACTTACAGTGTTCATCCTTCTCCTCATTTCTGTCAAGAAAATAGGAGCAAGGTAATGTGATGGATTTTAGGGACAGGGACTGTTTGGATGGAACTGTCAAGAAAGACTTGGCAGAATAGGACCTGCAACTCTTCCATAAAGCTCGAATTAGTTAAAGGAGCTTTGTGAAAAAAAGTGAAACATTGGTAAAGTATTAAGAAAAAAATACAAATTTGCATAAAGATTTTGGGATGAATACAGGGTAGAGGAATAAGCGTTCTTCCCCTCAAATTTCTCAAATGTCTCTTTTGCTGCTGTCTTCTCCCAAGGACTGAAGAGGAAGCCTCTGCCCTCTTCCATCTATTCACCCGCCCTTGCCCTCGGGCAGTGGGTCCCCCATGCCCAGGTCCATGGTGAGCAGCTCCTCCTCCTCCTGCTCTTAGAGCACTCCTGCCTTTATCAGCAAGCACCGGAGAAGGGGTGACTGGCTGGGCCCCTCTAGACATCCCAGCATGCATGGTCACATTTTCTCTAATTAATATCTCATAATATATTTGATCAGGTGATACAGGAACCATTTGAGATGCCTTTCAGAGGAAAGTATTGTTATCAATAGTAATTCTAAATTCCCTTTGAGAGTTCACAGTAGGTATTCTGTTTAACAAATGTAACTCCTTTTTCAAAATATACAAATTTTGTCAAGATATTTTTCAGGAACCACTTTACCTCTGGCATTAGAGTTTTCTTTCTGCTGATATTTTGATTTCCGGTGGCAAGTGGATTGATTTCTTACAATTCAGTAACTTCATCATCTGTCCTCATCCTAACAAAAGTGCTGAGAATGTGATGCTTT